ACCACATGTCTGAATGCATGTCTGTGTACCACACATGCACCACATGCCTGAATGTATGTCTATGTAGCCCACTTGCATGTAGTGCCTCTGGAAGCCAAAAGATGGCTTCAGATTCCCTGAGACTGGAGTTACAGATGGTTGTGAGCCACCTAGTAGGTGCTGGGAATTGAACCTGGGTCCCTAGGAGGCACAGCCAGTGTGTTTTTTTTCCTTCTAAAAACAAATCATAAATTTTATTTTTTTTATTTTTGAGATTACAATTTAATCACATTTATCCCTTCTCTTTCCTCCCTCCAAACCCTCCCATATACCCCTCCAAACATTTCAAATTCATGGCCTCTTTTCTCACTAAATGTTATTGCATGTACACACACACACACACACACACACACACACACACACACACACACACACTACGGCCGGCTAATGCTCCCTGTATGTACATTTTCAGGCACTTGAAAACCAATCGGTGTACCCCTCCTTGGGAGGAGCACCTCTCCCGCTCCCAGTTTTCCTGGAATGGAACAACTCTACTCTTCTATCTATAAACTCAGCTTCTGTGTCCAACACACACAATAAAATGGCTATGATGTGAGGAATCAGGGTGTGAGAACTTTCAATTATATTCTGAGAGTGAACTAAATTCATCTCTTCCAGCAGTCTTACATAAAAGTCGAAGTCGTCCTATCACAATGACAAGAAAGGGCCCAAAGAACCAAGTTCTATCAAGAGGTGGACTATTTGTCCACTGTGACCTCCTTTATAATTTGGGAGGCATTTCTCTGATAATCCGGAGTCCGAGTGGGCAGAATGGTTTATTAAGGATTTTCCTTCGCCATGATCAGGTATACAGTTAATCTGTGAGCACACCAAGCTTACAGGGTATAAAACAATAACGTGGTGAGAGGAAATGATCCTCAAACAGCAGACTTTGTTTCTCCTAATTGCTTGGGGACAGAGAGGGAATAAAAAACAAAATTGCCACTAGTAACAGGAACACTTACCAGAAGCTCTTCAGACACTGAGACTGTACAACCGGCATTTGCAAAGCTAATTACCAATCTGGGTTCTCTCATTTTAAAAATATACTTCAAAGCCGCCCATGCTGAACCGAAGTCTGTGCAACTGGCAGATTATCAAAGTGTAAAAAAATTGCATCACTTGAGTCAAGTAATAACTTTCAGTATCGCTAACTCCTGAACTGCAAAATGCCACAGGCCAAAAACTAGCAGAGCCACATGGGTATAGCACTGTACACTTGGAAGACTTCATAGTCCCCTAAGTCCTGACACACACAGCCCTCTGTGTCCCAGTGGCTTTGTGATGTGGGACAAGTGCTCTGCCTCTGAGCCTCACTCTTCACACAGGTTCTTCTTAGGATTAATTGAGGTGGAAAACACATACGTATCAGTACATATGTGAATATACATTTTATTTATATATATACATATATATATATGATTTATTTTTTGTCTGCTTTTGTAAATTATAAGACATATACTTAGTGTTAAAAATCATCTTGCTCTTTATTAACAATGTTGCCAGGCGTTAGACTGTTAATCCCCATTGTACAGTAAAGGGAAGACTCAGGAAGAGGTGTCCACTAAATGAGTGAATAAATAAACAAGGACTGGATTATGTGTTGTGCTTCTCAGCTCCCTACAAACTGGCTGAGTCACTCTCTGGGTGTGGGTTTCTTGGGGAAACGGAGATGATTTTTAAGGTCCTCTTGAGGCTGATGGTTGCCATATGGCTGATGGTCATGACAGTGATATGGGAACCTTTGGAATGACCCTTAGAAAGTGGCCCCTCCTCAAAGTCAGGGCACCATGAAGCAAAAAGCACCAGTCACCAATCTGAGGCCTGCAGTGTTGAGGCAACACTCCTGGGGGCCCCTCAGGATGGGACAGACATTAGCTTCACTCGTGTTGCTTGGGCTGAGGAAGGGGCTGGGAACCTTCAGGAAATGGCTAACGCCTCTACAGCATCAGAAGACAGTGTGTGTGTGTGTGTGTGTGGGGGGGGACGGGACTGCAACACCAAGTCTTGGTCAACCCAGACACTTCGCTACCGTAACAACTGGCAAAACCAAACACATTCACGTGGCCGAATGCTGACTCGCTCACAGTCTGACTGCCATCTGAATGCCAGTATCAAGCAGGTATGTGAAGGGGCTTCTTGTGTTACATAGGTGCTAGCGTCATACAGGATGTCCTCAAAAGTCCTGGGGCCACATTACTTTAGACCCCTGTGATAATGGAGTTCTCAGCATTTGCACGGCCCAGCCCAGCCCAGCAGCCTCAGTGTGGCTACCAGGACCTGGAGTCTTGCTGGTGTGGATTTAAAAGAAGTTAAATTTAAATACCTAAATGTGGGTAGTGGACAATACAGCTATAGGACGTTGATTTTTTTTTTTTCTTTTTCTCTTTGGAGGTCTTTCAGATCCAGTGGCCACAGTGGCCTTTATTCAGCCAATAGGCTCTGTGAACTGCTTTGGTCTCAGGAACACGTCCTGACTTAACAGCACTTTCCAACTAGGTTTCCTTCGGAGGACCTCACACACGCAGGGGCTCGCTGGACAGTTCTTAGGAAAAGGTGGGTGATACGCTATGGCAGAGCCAGACCAAGCATGACAGCAGTGCTTTTCATTTCTTCATATTTACTGTTAAAAGAATCTGGGGAAGTTCAGAAGTAGATATGTGAATGGTTTCTATTCATTCATTTCCAAATAAAGGAGCATGCTGCAAATATGGGAAATTATCTGTACGTAATTCCCACTTGCATAATCTTACACTTACTTAAAAGAAAGAGTCGGCGGGACCTGCACTCCTCAGGTAGGGAAAGTAAATGGTATTTAATTACACAAACAGTCGTACAAATGTTCAAGTGTGTCCCCTGCTGCAACAGCGGGCAAGGGAACATTTGTACCAATTAGCAGGGAAACGATTCGGGTTTTCCAGAAAGTTCTATAGGTAAGGCTGATTGCATTCTTTATCCCCGACAGCTCAACTCTTAGCTAGGATGTCTTTAGTGGGCTTAATAGGATGTGATGAGTTCCTTTCCCCAGGAGACTAGAAGGCATTTTCACCCACACCATCCATCTCATACTAGTAGAATCATTTCTTTGAAATAGAAAGGTAGCTCAGTGCTTGTCTCATTTCCAGTACTGTGCCTCTGGTGTCCCCCTGTTGTTAATTTCCTCCCCTAATTGCTTCTTCCCACCTTCTTAGGATGCAGGGTAACACAAAGAACAGAAAAGAAAGTACTCAGAACATCGGTTCATGCTCGCGCTGAGCCTGAATGCACACTGGCGAACGACCAAGGATGGTGGCCCCCACGCTTTGGGATTAAGCATTTTCAAGCTCATTCTTCCCCCTGTATCCATGTTATCCATG